CAGATTTTTTTGCTTTGAACAGGGCTTTATTTTGCTGCTGTAGAGCATGATTAGAGACTTTTTTTTCCTGGAGTAAATTGATAAATATATTGGTTTTAATTTTCCAAAAGTCTTGAGTTGTCTCTAGCTTAAGCCAGTCAAAACTTCTATATAGCTGTCTACCTGATATACTTACTTTAAAAGTGCAGGGGATAAAGGATGGCCATTTTAGTGGGATTTCCTGAGAAGTAGAAAGGTGACTTTATGTATTTAAACATTAAGCACATCTGCTCTTAAGCTATCCATTCCAAGATTAGCTTTCAGTGGCTATGAAAATTAAATAAAAGTTTATGTGATTGTCTGCAGGTCAAATTCTCTTGTGGGTTTTTTTTTTTTTGTTTTTTTTTTTTTTTAGTGCAGTTATATGAAAAGTACAGTAGAGATTTCTGATTAAAATTAGGCAATCCCCTGCAGCTTATTTGCAGGAAGACTGTGAGTGTAGCAGGATATTCAAGGCAAGGGATGAGGAGGCAATGGTATTACTGGGAATATTTATACCTACTTCAAGCAGCTTGAAATGAAGGGGAAAGCACTTTGCATAATGGATGATATCAGATTAGCCAGGTTATTTCAAACATTCAGTTATGATTCTTTGCCAGTTAATTATGGCTAGTTTTGAATTTATTTGGTGGGTGAAAGCAAGACGTACTGTGCTTGTTTTGCAATTTTAAGAAGCCAAAGGTTGATTGTAACTAAAAGAATCTATAAAAGAATCTAGTATTAAGTTTCAAGGAGTATAATAGTAGTGATGTGTGCAAATGTCTCAAAAATTGTAGGAAAAACTCTGTGAAGCAGCTGACAGAGAAAAATTAGATAGAGAGTTTACTCAGTGAGGAGGAAAAAAAGAATGGAAATTGAGAAATTATGAAAAGAATAAGCTTAGTCTAAAATATCTGATTTCGTAGGTGTTTAAGGCTATGACAGGGACTAGTGTGAAGTGAAGGGGAAAGAGCTTGAAGGAAGCACAGCAAGGAAATCAGAAGCACAGAAGAGAGTCATTAAATAAAAAGGTTAAAAATGTATATTTGAAACTGAATCTTAACTCATCTCCCTTCCTGGTTCCAGGAAGAAGCAGTAAAACCAGAACTAAAAAGCATTTGTGAAAAGAGCCTTGTCTCTTGCATTCAGATGAAATGTTAGGTTTTCTGAAGTCATTGCAAGAGGAGCTGTGCAGGGACTGGAAAGAAATTTTACAGTGAAGATCTATCCAGTAGCTGCTCACCAGTGACTCAGTGTCAGAACAAGCACTGGCTCACATTATATCTCCTGGCAGCCTCTGTCTCCTTGTGGATGCTCCAATGATCTTTTAGATCCTGATGGGCTTCAACAGCTTAGAGAGCCGGGTGATTTTGGTAAAATACATGTAATTGGTTGTTACTCAGTGTCGTGCTAATCCCATCAGTTACAGAAGTTTTTAGCTTGTCTGGAGTGGGTGATATTGGATACTCTCTAAAACCTGGCTCAAGTTCTTTGCATGATTTCTTTGGGGATCAGTTTTACTGAGGGAAGCATCTCCTGCAGTGATGACTGTCTTGAGATTGCTGCTGCTCAGAGAGGGTACTTGAACTTGGGAAGGCTCGTTCTGAGCTGGGCAGGGACACTTTCACCTGGACTGAGTGATGCACAAAAGGGTGCATTAGCATTCTCATCTGTTCAGCCTGGAGGCACATGTAGTCCTGATACTAACTCAAGGATAAGCTGGGAGGAATTAGAGTTTTTAAATACAATTTCAAGGTCTGCATATGTTGATGTGTCTCTCACCACCAGTCTTATTATCCTGTATTTCTTTTAGTGTCTCATTTCCTTACACTCACCAAAAATGAAAGTTGTAACGTTAAAGAGGGGATGGTGATATGAGAACATAAGTTTAAATGGATATGTTTTATTCTGATTTACTCATAAGTATACAGGAAATTATATATATTTTTTATATATATATATATATATTATATAATTGCATTTTATGAGTAAACTTGGTTTTGTGGATAGTTAGAAAGCAGAGTGTGTATGCTTAAGAGCATTGTCCCCTAATAGTTTTAAATTGATTTTAATTTTTTTATGCTTTTGTTTTCTTGGAGAAACATGGGTCTTCTGGTTTAAATGCTAAACTGTTTGGGTTTAAATGCTAAAGATAAAAAATGTCTGCATAGTTATAAATTTAAAAAGAAAATTTCATTGCTTCCTTTGGAATCAAGAACACTGAACATAGTGTGTGCCACTAGTCCTTTACTTAATTTATGAACTAATTTTCAGAGAAACAATTCTATGATAATCTTGTCTCCCTGTGGAAAGAACTTTGTTAAAATATAAAAAGATTTAAAAGGCAGATATCCTGGTTAGAGTCCGTTACGGACCATGTCTCTTTTTGCATTCTTCCTGCTGCTCGACACTCATTTAAAAATTGATTTAATTTCTGAAACTCTCCTTTGTTTAAATTCTGCATTCCCCACCAGATCAAGTTACAGTCTAAGTTCAGGTTCTTTTCTGGTGGAACAACATCAGCAGTGGAGGCTCTGAAATATATAGAGAAGTTAACATGTATAATGCATTTTAATTGAATAGGAATAAAAAATACTGATTTAATTGAATAGGAATAAAAATCACTCTAAATGTGTACCTTTTTAGGGACATCTCGGTTCCCAAGTGTAAAATTACTTTTTGGGATTTGAAATATAGGAGAAATAGGGCCATGTGCTATAGACTGGCAGTGGTGTTATGCTACTACAAGTAAGGAAGTAAATTTCAGTGGGTGATTAGGAGGAAAGGAGTAATTACCATATGGAAAATAATATGCCAGAAATTCAGATATAGCAATTTGTTAGTTAATTAGTGGATGAAATCTGTTTTTTTCATAACTCATATTGCTTAAATAATAAATATTCAGTCAATTGAAAAGCAATTTTGTATGATGAACACTAGCTTTTACAGGGCAACCTTATTGCACTGGGACTGTTTTTCTGTATTAGATATGACATAAGTGCTAACCAGGGATGACAAGCTTCTTTAATTAACTGTGCCATCATCAAATATAACCTGCATGTCTACTGAAAGAGAAGCTGAACTGTGAACTTTATTCCACTGTCTGTATTGTCTAGATCTTCATTACCTAATTTCATCCTAGTGATGCCTTTTTGGTACTACCTAAAAACAAAGACCAGAAAAAATTAAGAGAATAAAAAGTGGTGATATTTATTAAAGGGCCTTCAGGTAGTTTTAGGGCAGATGAAGCCCCCCACAGGGGCTACATCCAAAAATGGATGATGGGTCATGGATTTCCATACTTTTATAAGTATGATCCATTTGCATATTGGGGATTAATCTTCCAATTACGGCTTCAGGTAATGAAGTCATTTTACCCCAAGTTTGCTGCCCCCCAAATCACTTTTGTTTACATCTCTTGGGGCTGAGACAGTAAGATGTCCTTGATTCCGAGGCCTAGAGAGGAATTGTTTTGTCTGACCAAAATAGGAAAACAGTAGCTAACACTATATGGAGTTTAGAGATATACTCTAAAGAATTGCAGGATTACAGATATATGAAAAATAGAAAAGCTAAAATCCTAAGGCATTAACAGAGCTTGGATGTTTTACTTAGATGTAGACATACAGTATTATGTGTCTTAATCTTGGACTATATCCCATATTCAGAATTTGAGATGACTGTACAGCTCTCCTGAAAGAGGTGGGGAAAGTGTGCTTGTCTAGGAGTATCCATGTACTGTCAGCTGATGTTTTAATGATCTGTTTTGCTGGTGAAATGGAAGGTAGGAAGAGCAATATGTGAGCTTGTCACTGGGTTTTACTGTCTTGCCTGGAAATTTTGTCTGTGTGTCTAAAAACTTAAATTGGAACTTACTGAGAGTATTTTTCTGAATGCTGTAGAGTAGTAAAACTAAAAGGCAATTCCCAGCAAACTCCATGCAGTAACAGTTGAAACGCCTGTGTCTTCACTTTGAAGTGATGGCAGGCCCAGTGAGATGGCTTGACTAAGTGAGGCTCAAAGCACCATGGTTAGGAAAAGCAGGGCTTGGTGTACCTGGCCCTGCTTCTGTTAGAGAGATGAAAAAGAGCATGGGACTGCATTCTGGTAGTCATGGACTGTGACAGCAATCACAGGGGTTCTTGAATGAGGGAAGAGACGAGAACGTTGACTCCATGTTTCAGAAGGCTTGATTTATTATTTTATGATATATATTACATTAAAACTATACTAAAAGAATAGAAGAAAAGGTTTCATCAGAAGGCCAGCTAAGCTAAGAATAGAAAAGAATGATAACAAGGGTTTGTGGCTTGGACAGAGAACCTGAGCCAGCTGGGCTGTGATTGGCCATTAATTACAAATAACTCTATGAGACCAATCACAGATCTACCTGTTGCATTCCACAGCAGCAGATAACCATTGTTTACATTTTGTTCCTGAGGCCTCTCAGCTTCTCAGGAGGAAAAATCCTAAGGAAAGGATTTTTTATAAAAGTTGTCTGTGACAGTGGACTCCAGATTCTTTGCTGGGAGGGCTGAGGCTGTGTGCTGAGGCTGAGCTTGTGTGTCAGTAGGTTTGTCTGTGATGGAGGCTGACAGTGCAGTCATACCTTACAGGAATTGGAGAAATATCCTTGGATTCTGAAAAATTTTGTTGCCAAAAAAAATTTCATGTTACTCTCTCATTGCTTATGTATTTTCATCTCCATGCCATAAGTTTCTCTTGGCAGTTTTTCTAACCTATAAATATTGCTTTATGATTCCACACTGATGCTTTTTCCCAACCAAAATATGTGCTTTTCAATATCCAAGTTTTTCTATTGGGTACAGAAGACATTGTGACCATCTGGGCGGTAAAACATTATTGTAGAATAATCTTACTTATAAAATAATCTGAATTTTGGAAGTTGGCATTGAAAGAGGGGAGACAAGTAGTTTTACTCTGAGAACATCAGATGTGATTGATTCTCCCTGTATTTCCAGGTGCTGCCATTGGAAAACAGAATGAAGGACAGCACACGTTTCCCCCAGGCACTGAACATTGGGATGGCAATAGTCATGGCACTGTACATCTCACTGGCCACCCTGGGGTATATGCGCTTTGGGGATGAAGTCAAAGGCAGCATAACTTTAAACCTGCCACAGGATAAGTGGTAAGTGCCTCTGTGATTGAAAAGCAGTAACCTAGAAGTCAGAAATGTTGGAAAGGTTGTCCCATGCCTCAGTGCCCTCAGGGTGCTCAGACTTTTAATGTATCCACAATAGAGCTGTGGTCCTCGCCAGTCATTTCTTCCATATTAAAAGGACTTGCATAGGGAGGGTGATCAATGATATTATAAATGCTGATCAATGATATTATAAATCATTTAATCTCAAGAAGGAGCTAGTTCCAGGACTGTTGAGGGAGGGAATACACAGTTTGCAAGAAGCTGTCACACAGTTTTGAAATTAGCGCCTTTTACCTTGGATATCCTGGTAATCTGGTGCCCTTTTTTAGTGTAATCACTGAGTTTAGCAAGTGGCCAAATGGAATAGAAGACATCAAAGATGGATAGGTTTGTAGTTCAAGTGCAAGTCCATGGATAGTGTATATGATGACTTCCTATCAGGAGAATGAAGCTTATGTTTGCTAGTGTCTCGAGGATACTACAATTTTTTATTTAGCTAATTTTTTTTAATGTTATGAGGGATGCACGTCACATGCTGAATATGCACTGAAGATGATTTCAACTGCTGTATAGTTAGTTTTTTATCTGTCTGTGGATGGATATACTCTAACTATTCTCTATTGTAATTTATTTTTTTAATACTTTTGTCTAATAGGCCTAAAATTAGGTATATCAGTAGTGCATAAGTGCTAAAACTAAAAAGTATTTTAATGTTTTCATTCTGATCAAGTAATGTTTTACAGGTTATATACTTGCATCTACTTCAATGTCTATTGTAGTAGTTTATTAAAGTAGTGAAATCTCAAATTACTGGCAAAAAACCCCCTGCTTAGATGAAATGAATGCTGACTTTTTTATTTTTTGAAAAAGAGAACACATGTAAAGAATGTTCTCAATCTTTAAGTGTTACTTTTTCACTTCCTTTTCTTCCTTTTCATTCCTTGGGGTCAATATGAACTATGCATTTTTAATATTCCGAAGAAGTTTTGTTTAATTGCCAGACTGATTCCAATGTTTAATACATGAGAGTATAAAAATGTGTCTTGAAGGATGAATGATTTTTCATTGCTAGAACCTTCATCTCTTTCTTACTGCTTGTGTCCTTGCTTTGTTCTTATATTGCTGTTGTAACAACTGAGATTTGGTCCTTCCCTTCCCTTCCCTTCCCTTCCCTTCCCTTCCCTTCCCTTCCCTTCCCTTCCCTTCCCTTCCCTTCCCTTCCCTTCCCTTCCCTTCCCTTCCCTTCCCTTCCCTTCCCTTCCCTTCCCTTCCCTTCCCTTCCCTTCCCTTCCCTTCCCTTCCCTTCCCTTCCCTTCCCTTCCCTTCCCTTCCCTTCCCTTCCCTTCCCTTCCCTTCCCTTCCCTTCCCTTCCCTTCCCTTCCCTTCCCTTCCCTTCCCTTCCCTTCCCTTCCCTTCCCTTCCCTTCCCCCTTAAGTTAAAGGAGGGCAGGTTTCAATTACAAATTAAGAAAAAATTCTGTAGTGTGAGGGTAGTGAGGCACTGGAACAGGTTGCCCAGAGAGGTTGTGGACTCCCCATTCCTGGAAGTGTTAAAGACCTGGAAGTGTTAAAGTGTTAAAGGGTTCTGAGTAACCTGAGCTAGTGAAAGGTACTACCCATGGCAGGAGAGTTGGAACTGGATGATCTTTGAGGTTCCTTTCAACCAAACCATTCTGTGATTCTCTGACATTAAAAAAAAAAAAAAAAAAGCCAGAAATCTGCAAATGTTTACTGTGTCTATTCTGTGTGATGCAGCTGAAAGGAAAAATACTTCTATTTCTAATAAACCATGGCAGCCCTTGTTGTTTATAAGATTAGTGAAAAGCTTGTTTTAAATGGTAGCTTTGGGTTTATTTGTGCCTTAAGAGAGGTGTTAATAAAAAACACGGAGTGAGAGGAATGTGGAATAAGCTAAGGTTGCTACCCACTGTTGTTTTTTATTGTGCTCATGCAAGCAACAGAATAAACTTTATTCTGCATCCCTGCTGTCTAACAGAGCTGTTCACATAGGAGTTTTCAAACAGCTCTTGGCTACAGTGCAGATGTGATGATGATAATATTTGTGCTGATGGCTTTGCAGGCCTAATGCAAGGAAACAGATAATAAAAGAGATGGAAACTGGTGCTCTATAGGGTTGGAAATTGGCATCATAAGCATAATAACCTCAAAGCTACTTAGGGCACATATCCACAGTTAACAAAGTCATCTGTTTTTGTCTTACCCTGGAGAGTACCCCAGAGCACCAAACAAAATTAGGAGAAGCAGTTTGGTGGTGCGCAGGGATTGTGATGTATGATGCTGTTGCTGTGCAGGACTGTGGCTCTACCTGATACAGTACTGAGGGACAAATGGTTGCAATTAACTGGGCTAGCAAAACAAATTTCCAGTGAACCACAGGACACTATTTTGCTATTTGGTCCTCACATAAAAAGCCAGTAAGTTGCCAGTTTGAACCAGAGAAATTGCAAGGAGCAGAGGAATTTTTTCATAAGAAGACAGGCGAAAGACCTGGAGTGTATCTAAGCAGTGAGACTTGGCTTGTGTGTTTAATTGCAGCTGGACAATCTCTGTCTTAAAAATATACTTTTCCTGATAAAGAAAATTAAATTAAAATTCTGCTGTTTTCTGAGTTTTATTTGATGTTCTCACTGAATTGACTGGAAGGCATACACAGGCCCTAGAATAGTTAAGTTCTTAAGTTTAATTTAAATAGAGGACTACTTGTATTTAAAATATCCTGCTAGATTGGTGCTTTTGTATAAATGGCTTGATGCTGTTCTATTTAGATGGTGTTTGGGAGTACAAATTGTCATTCAGCATAATGTATTGCTTAGAATATGTTGAAAATTGACTTAAAGAGTAGTTTTCAGTATTTGCAGATGTAAATTACAGAAAATTCTGCTTTAGTATTTATTAGAGTCCTTGGTTTGGGTCTTGTTTTTTCATAAAATGGTTTCGGTTGGAGAGGACCTTTAAAGATCATCTGTTGTGATCCCTGTGCCATGAGCAGAGAAATCTGTTATAAGACCAGGTTGCTCCAAACTCCATCCAACCTGGCCATGAGCACTTCCAGAGATGGGGCATCCACAGCTTCACTATCCTCATTGTCAAAAATTTCTTCTTTGTTCTTGTTTGGGTTCTTGTCTTCTTGAGGCCAAATATGAAGGTTCTTTCCACCACCTCTTCTTTGTTAAGATATAAGTGAGTCTTTGTGCAACAGTTCCCTTACTGTGGATCCCAAAAGTTAATGACCATACATACAAACATTGGTGTATTGAAGTTCGACAAGACTACACATGCAGCTTAGTTCAAGTGAAAGCTTCACATAATTATTGCTCTGTTTGGTCTAGCTGTGTTGTTCTGCAAGTTTTGTTGCACTGCTTGCCAATGTTTCTACTCTTCAGATGGGTATAATGAAATCTAAAATGATGAATTGAAAAGCAGTTTAGCACATATGAATGATTTAGATTTTTATTAAGTGGTAGCCTAAGGAGTCATCTTTTTCTGATTGGAATATAATATTAAATTACTAGTAAAATCAAGTTAGCAATATAATTTTTTTTTTAATTTGGAAAGTTATAATTGTCATAGAGCTGTAGAAAAAATAGTGTAATGGAGATGCTTACCAATCCTGTTTTTGAATATATTTTAGAAATTACTTTTGTAAAGGCTTGGGGTAGTCTGAAGCCTGAGGAGTAGAGGTGAATTCTGGGTATCTGGTCAGCTAAAATTTAACCAGCTTAAATCTATCTATATCTTAATCTAAAATCTAATCTATATCTTCTGGAATAAGGACAGTCTTGCAGAACTGTCTTTCCCTCTAAATTTCTAAAAGCTACTCAGCAGTCAAAAAGATATGTGTCACAAAAGCAGCAGCTTCTAAACTAGCTACACCATTATGTCAGCCTGTAAATTGATGCAATAACGTTTCTGTCCATTTGAATGTGCCTTTGGAGATACCTTGACCTGTGTACAGTGATGGCCAAACCTTTGATACAGATAATTTCAAACCTATTAGTCAAAATGTAATTTTAGTTGAAGCTTATTTTTCTTTTCTTCCTCATATAGAGGAATAGAATTATAGAAAGTATGGTGGAAAAGAGCTGAGCTGTACAGATAAAAGTTTTGCCGTGCCATTTGGCCACAGGATAAAGGGCCAAAAGCAGTCCTGGCTAGATTTTATTTACTAATGCAGATACAGACTGGGATACTCAAAGAGAGAATGTTCAAGTGACCCCTGCCAGGCTTTGAGAGATACAGAGATCAAGGTCCTATTGTTCTTTCCCTACTCTTGCTGGTGCTTTTAATTTTCGTACTTAACTTATGCATTCACAGAATCACTAGGCTGGAAGAGACCTTCAAGATCACTGAGTCCAACTCATGCCCAAACACCTCAACTAAACCATGGCACATGAGTGCCACATCCAGTCTTTTCTTAAACACATCCAGGGATGGTGACTTTACCACCTCCCAAGGCCGACCATTCCAGAACTTTATCACCCTTTCTGTAAAGCACTTTTTCCTAATATCCAATCCATATTTCCCTTGACACAGTTTGAGACTGTTTCCTCTGGTTCTGTCAGTTGCTGCCTGGTGAAAGAGACCAACCCCACCTGGCTACAGCCACCTTTCAGGCAGTTGTAGGGAGTGATAAGGTCACCCCTGAGCCTCCTTTTCTCCAGGCTAAACACCCCCAGCTCCCTCAGTCGTTCCTCACAGGGTTTGTGTTCCCAGCCCCTCCCCAGCCTCGTTGCCTCCTCTGGATGTGCTCGAGTGTCTCAAGGTCCTTCCCAAACTGAGGGGCCAGAACTGGACGCAGCACTCAAGGTGCTGGGTACAGGGGAAGGGTGCCCTCCCTGCTCCTGCTGGCCACACTGTTCCTGACACAGGCCAGGATGCCCTTGGCCTTCTTGGCCACCAGGGCACTCTGCTGGCTCATGTTCAGCCGGCTGTCACCAGTGCCCCCAGGTCCCTTTCTGCCTGGGCACTGTCCAGCCACACCGTCCCCAGCCTGTAACGCTGGAGGGGGTTATTGTGGCCAAAATGCAGGATCAGCACTTGGATTTATTAAACTTCATCCTATTGGACAGACCCATTCTGGTTCTGTCTGCAGAGCCCTCCTACCTTCCAACAGATTGACACACGCTCCCAGCTTAGTGTTGTCTGCAAATTTGCTAATAAAGGACTCATTCACCTCATCCATGTCATCAATAAGGATGTTGGCTTTGCTTCAGATGAACATCTTTTTAAGGACTGAAGCAATGAAACAAGCCCTCACCAAAGATTTTTATAATGTCCATAGAAACAAAATCATACAAAGACTCAATTTCTGTTAGTTCACTGCAAGTAATGACAAATGCTTGTAATTCATGCAGCACGAATTAAAAATATATGTAAATTTAAACCTGTTGGAGGCATGGATAGCTCTATAGCTCTTTATCATTTGTTTACTCAGCCACAAGTAACAGTGGTAAGGATGTCTGCCCTTTCTTGGAAGATTTACTCTAGTTGGCTTATCTTCTGCAATTTCTTAGGCAGTTAAAATATATTAATATATTAATGTTTACTGGGAAAAAAAAATAATATATATATATATATATATATATATATATGTATCTCCTTAGGGCCGTTATCAAGTGAATTTTTTATGAAGAATTTGCAACTTACATGACTGTATATGTTTTCAACAGGTTGTATCAGTCTGTAAAAATTCTGTACTCCTTTGGGATTTTTGTGACATACTCGATTCAGTTCTACGTCCCTGCAGAGATTCTGACTCCAGTTGTCACCTCCAGAGTGAGGCAGAAGTGGAAGTTACTCAGTGAGCTTGTGGTGAGAGCACTATTAGTCTGCTCAACCTGTAAGTATGTGCAGAACATCCATTAAAAAACTTGCTATTACATTTTTTGGACCTGCTTATTTAAATATATGTTTTGTTGTTTAGTTTTCTGGAGGCTAGCAAACCTGACATTTTGACTTTTACGAACAAATGAAACTAATGTTGTATTTGTATTTTAACTGCATTTGTTTTAGTAGGTTTGACCGATTATTTGACAGCAATATATTTTGCTGGTAATACCCTAAAGCTGCCAACTGGAAAATAAACCTTTCTCAAACAAAATTTTTTAAGTGAGATGCACATTGCTGAGATTTGTCAGCATTTATCTATGTGATCTTCAGTACATGCTTGTCATGGAGAAATCGTTTCTGTTTTGTTGATCTGAGGATTAAGCCTTAAGATATGCTGGGTCTGTAGCCAAAAAGTAGCATTGGCAAACATGGATGCCTGGTCATGGAGTTCATGAAGTGCCACTTATTTTAGAATAATGCTCCAAAGTAGCTTTTGGAGGCAGGCATCTCTACCTTCACTCCCTGTTACTCTTGTTGTTTTTCTTGCTTGTCCCCTAATCTTCCCTCCTGCTGTATCCCTGCTTTCTCACAGCTGCTTGAGATGTGCTAGTAGGAGTCAGCAGAGCTGACATTGAATGGTGAGTGTGGTCTCATCCAGGAATCAATACTCCTGAAGATAATGAACTGTGGGGGAAGTTCAGCTTTGCCTTTACAGCTCCTAGCCAAAGTGCTCAATAACATAGCGACCTTTTCTCAAAGACATTATTAAAAAAATTGTTTCTAGTACAAAGCTGGCTTATTGACTTGACCAATTGTATTGAAATAAGCTGTTAATATCTTAAAAGCAATCAAAACTGATAAATAAGCAAAAAAAATGCTAAACTTTGTGTTTTAGGGGAAAGTACTGATGAAAGAGAAGATATTAAGTTTATTGTCTCTATTCCCTTGATGAATACAGTAGCTAATATACTGGATGACACCTAAGGATTGTTGTAAAAGGAGACTTTGACATCCAGTGAGACCTTCTTAAGGTCAAGTCTCTTGAGAAAAACAGTTTAATGCCAGTGCAATTTAATTACTAGAGTAAGCAAAGGGAAATACCATTAATCTAATAACTTGCAGCTCTGAAAATACATCTGCTTTGTGAAACTAACAAAATAAAAAGAAAACACAAATTTTTCTTGAATTATGAAGTACATGTCTCCTGAAGCATCATATAGCCTGTGTTCTATTTCAGGTGATCAAGGCATTAAGATTTTAAGATTGAGAACAGATGAATAGCTCTTGTAATACTTGAGAGACATCTAGATCAAAAAGCTTCAAGGTTCAAAACACTTCTTAGTATCTCTCCAGGACACTAAAAGGTCACCAGTTAGCTCTCCAGTCCTAACCACACCTTGCTGTCCTGACACCTTTGACTTCTTCTCAATCTCTGTTGCTCTTTATGTGCTCCTTATCATCTGCCCTGGTAATGATATCACAATAGATTTGAAAAGCTAAAAGTCTTGTATATCCAAACTGTTGCTTACAGCCAAAGGCTTCAAGGATTTATAGGTGAAAGATAGTTCCATGTATGTGTCTGATGAGAATAGCCAGTGGTGAACAGGCTTAAAGACACACTTCCCTAATTGACTTGGGAAAATTTTAAATTACTTCATAATTTAGCCATAGGTTTTTTCCTTAATTTTATCATTAACTTTTGTAATTTCTGGGTAGTCTGAAAAGGGAAAACTGGGAAACAATGTCCAAGAAAAGAAAGTAGAAAAAGAAAGGAAATTAGCTATATATATGTAAAGATACGTATATACAAAAGATACAGCTATATATACAAAGATGTAGCATTAGAATGCTCTGCCTTTATGTCTTTGAAAAAAATGTGTATAGTAAAATTGTACCTAGTGTATGCCATTGCAACTTACCTGTGATATGAATCTCTGAAATGGAGCTGCTGAAGTGTTATGGGTCTTACTGGGATATTTGAGGATATTAAATTGTTTGCTGCAAGGCACAAAAAAGTAACATTAAAAATTTGCTCTTAAAGGTTTGATATTTGCCAAGCTGTTGTGTGATGTGTTGTATTAACCTAATGGCATTTCAGGTTTTTCCCAAGTGGTTTCTACAACTTGTATGCATGCAGTAGCTGTAATACTTTTTCACCAACAATTGTGTAAGCTCCCATGCTTACATTCATCTTCATTTTTCATTGAAGCACTGGTTTTAAACAGAATTAATTTAAATAGCGTCACTTTTCACTTAGCTGCACTTTGTCTGACTGCAGAACATTGTTCCTAAAATGATTCAGAAAGTGTTTCTTTAATAGAAAGTAAAAATCCAAAACCTTTTAAATTGAATTTTAGAAATTAAATGGTTTTGATATCAGCGACGGAGTATGTTGTAATGTCTGGACCATTCAGAGGTCATACACTGATTAAAGGAAATCTGCTTGCTTGAAAGTACCTCTTTGAGAAGAGGAACTTCAGCTGTGATGTTAGTAGCACATTAGCTTTTTAAGACAAGACATGAAAAATCACTTATTACTAATTCTTGGGGCTTTTGCATTACTCAAAAGTTATGTCATTGTTTTATTGTTGGAGTATATGAGAGACTGTTTTTGGAAGAAGCAGACCAGGAGTCTATTGTCATTTTTTTCTTGTCTGATAAGGTTTGTTTTAAGTAAGGATTTGGCAACTGACTGGGGATGTAACACATACCTAAGAGCCATCTGTGTTGCTTAGGGCTTTTCATTATTACTTGCTCACTTTTGGACACTTAGCATTGCAGGAGAATGATCACAAGAATCTTCTGCATTTTTAGATTTCCCTGTTCTTCTTCAGCTTTTTTCTGTTTTTTTTGAGAGAGACAAGCATCTCTTCATCTTTGCTTGGATTTCACTGTAGATGGTGTAGCAAGTTGGAAGATCCCACCATACTTCATAAATCCTGACATAAACCATTATTTTATAAACTAGGTGAGCACCTGGTGCACTGAGTGGAGCGGTGAGCTAAGCTTGTGCTGAAAGTCCAGCCTAGAGCTGGAGCCTGGGTTTGGTGGATGCTGAAAGCAAGTGGGAGCTGGATGTCTAGCAAGCTAGGCAGAAAGAGGATTGAAAGTTGGACTAAGCATCACTGTGGTGGGCTAAGTTAGAAATTAGGAACACAGGAAAATAGAAGGAATAGGACAAGAGTCCTCATGGGATTTGGAAAATGCTAGAAGAGATATGCAGGTGCAATTTTGTGTGGGTACTGCCTTGGTATTTTTGGTATTTGAATGTCAGATAACCTCAGTGCTTTGAAATATTTGTCAGGGTGGAATTTTGAAACAGTTTTAAAGTCTTTACCCTGATTTTACATATTTAAAACACATGTCACAAATATAGTTAGGATCTGTGTTTGTGACATCTACCTGGGTGAAGGCTGGGCATCATGCCCAAGGTTCAGCTCTTAGCCAAGCCTGTTACATAATGGGATTGTATGTCCAGCACATTGGGATAAACTGTTAAAGTGTGAAGCTTTTTTAGTTTGCTTCTGAAGCATCCTGGATGAATTGTTAAAAGATCACTGTATTTGTTTAGGTTTAGAGTAAACTTGGGAGAGAATTTTTTAAAGGAGCTTTAGTAGGAAAGCAGATTTAATCGGCCCCTCCCCTTAATTGGTTTGGGAGAAAATACTTTTTTGGAGAAAGGTGGAAAAAACTGTTTATTAAGCAATAAAACTTAAACAATATTAAACAATAAAATTTTTTGCTACTTTAAAAGAGATGACAAACTGAGAAAGTTTTTTTCTGGGTTGTGGTTTAGTTTACTCAGTCTCTGATTAGTTTTTTTGGTGTTGGAAATGTTGCAGGCTAGGCCCGGCCCGGTGGGCTATAGATGCAGCTGCTGGTGCTTTTCTGGGTGTTTAGTTTAGAGCAGGTTTTAAGAGGTTTAAGGAAAAGGGAAAAAACCAAAAGTTTAGGGAACCTTTTTGTTTTAGCTGGCTAAAATTAACTAAAAGCAAAAGAGAGTTTTGTTTTGCTGTTTGTTTATTTGCAGACAACAATAGTTTAGGAGTAGGAATGTGGAGGAGTGAGTACAGTGTTTGAAAAAAAATTGCTGCTTTTTTTTTCTTCTTTTTTTCATTCTTTGGAACACTTTTAAAGGTGTAAAATTTATTATTTAACATAAATAGAATGAGACGATTGGGAATAAAAGCATTATATAGTCAATTTAAGACATTTTACTTTTTATTTTTATATCGTTTGCTTACTACTAAAACTAATATAAATTTTAACTCTATAAACACATACATTATACATTTATTATACAGCTATACACAGACAATGGTAACAACATTTAGCAAACAGTGATATTTATATATAGGTTTTATTTAACAATTAGATTTTTTTGAGGTACATATTGTGTTCTTTTTTTTTTTGCATTATTTACTATGTGTAACTTGGTTTTTAGCAAAAACAACTTTACAAATGAGTTTGTTTGTATTTGAGGTAGAGTTAATTTAAACTGTCTTTTTTAACAAACTTTTGATATGCACTACTGGGACTTTGTTTTTATTTACTCTATGCAAAGGCTCAGATTGGGCAGGGCTTATTTGGTTAGTAGAGCTTTGGGTGTTAACTAATTAGGTGGCTTTTGTTAGATGTTGCTTTCAGTTTTTGAAAGATTTTTTACTTAATGCTTTTAATGTGGTTTTTAACAGTTTGTTGTATTTTTTTACTTTGTTTGCAGCTGGTGTATGGTAGGGGATATGGTATATTTACTTAATGTTATGTTTTTTAGCTTAGGTGTTGATAAGGCTGTTTTTGAAATGAGTTTTGTTGTTTGACTTGATTTTTTTAGGGGTATTATGTTTTTACAGAATTGCTTTTCAAGGCTTAGGATGGTGTTCTGGGCTGTAGCATGAGACACAGGGTAGGTTTCTAACTATCTAGTGGTGGCTTTCACTATGATCAGCACGTAGCGCTTGCCCTGGCGTGTTTGGGGCAGTGTGATGTAGTCAATCTGCTAGGCTTCTT